AAAAAAAAAAAAGAAGATGGAAAAGGACATTTCTCCAAAGATGAAATACAAATGGCCTGCAAACATATGAAAAGATGCTGAACATCACTAATCATCAGGAATATGCAAATCAAAACCACAATAAAGTATCACTTTATACCCAATAGGATGATTAGGATGTCTACTACCAAAAACAATGTTTTTAAAAACAGAAAATAACAAGGTTGGCAGGGATACAGAAAAACCTGCATTTTTGTACACCGTTGCTAAGATGATAAAATGGTGTAACTGCTATGGAAATCAGTATAGTAGCTCCTCAAAAAATTAAAAATAGAACTAACATATGATCTAAGCAACCCCGCTTCTAAGTATACTTCCAAAAGACTTGAAAGCCAGGTCTCCATGAATTATTTATACACCCGTGTTCAAAGCAGCATTAGCCAAGAGGAGCAACCCAAATACCCACCAACAAAAGAATGGATGAGTCTTGAGGGCATTAATAGTACGTGAAACCAGCCAGTCACAAAAGACAAAAACTATATGATTCACTTATAGGAGGCACCCAGCATAGTCAAATTCATAGAAACAGAAAAGTAGAATGGTGGTTAGCAGGAGATAGGGAAAAGAAAAAGGAGTTCTTGTTTTATGAGGATAGTTTCATTTCCATAAGATGAAAAATTTCTGGATATTAGTTTCACAACAATGTGAATATCTTAATACTATTCAACCATATATTAAAAATAGTTAAGATGGTCAATTTTATGTTATTTTTTACAGTAAAGAAAACTATATAACATGAAAAACAATTCTTTAAAGAAAAGAATTTTAACAAATGCCAACTGACACAGCTCTATTAGTGGCTCCACAAGAAAAAGAATCCCTCAGGTACAGGACCAAGATGCTGCCCCAGGCAGCAATGCAGCAGGGCCCTCAGAGGGTGCCACTCTCCACCAGGCAGGAGGACACTCTGGAGGCTGACCATCCCAGGACAAGTGTGACCCCACAGGCCCTTGACGAGAGATCCCATTCTCCAAAGGCAAATGCTCAGATCATGAGATAGGTATCGACAGAAACAATGGACATTAGGCTCAGCACCTGTAGCACAGTGGTTACAGTGCCAGCCACTTACACAGAAGGGACAGGTTCAAACCTGGCCTGTGCTAGCTAAACAACAATGACAACTGCAACAAAAAATAGCTGGGTGTTGTAGTGGGCACCTGTAGTCCCAGCTACTTGGGAGGCTGAGGCAAGAGAATCACTTGAGCCCAAGAGTTTAAGGTTGCTGTGAGCTATGATGCCACAGCATGCTACCAAGGGCAACATAGTGAGACTCTGTCTCAAAAACAAAAAAGAAAAGAAATAATGGACATCTAAATTTTAAGGGCACCAGAGCTAAGAAAAAGAAAGAGGGTTGAGCAGGTGAGGTTCTGAGTGTTTCTGACAAATGATGGCAGTGCTGCTGGGGGCTGTGTGGTTCTGAGGTTTCACAGGCCATTCCCAACCACAGGTGCCTATGTATGAGACAATTCTCCAGGATTCAATTTCTTCGTCCATAAAATAATTAGTTCCTCTTAGCTCTAACATTCAAAATCTGATCTGAAATAAACATTCCAGACCCTCTAAATAGCTGAGTCCTCACTTTTCCCTCCATCCTCCAAACACTCAACCTAAGACACAAGAGAACTTGCTGTATTTCTTTCCTGCAAACCATCCCATTCCTCCATTGCTAACGTACCTGGCGTGGAAGCTTATTTAGTGACCTCAAATAGTCTTTGTCCAGGATACAATTTCCAAGTGCATTCCCAAAACTCCTGAGGAGAAGAGAAAAAAAAAGTGAGACAGTGTTGGGAACTGTTACACTCAACATAGTACAACTTGCTTCTCAGTGCAGCCAGGGAAATGGACCCTAATGTGTATTCCATAAATGTCTCCTGAGCCAGGTTCTGAGAATACTGCAGTGAGCACAACAAATCCAAATCCTTGCCCTCAAGGAGAGACAATGCGTATGAAAAAAAAACTAAGGAACTGTTTCCAAAACCCACTAGCTACTTCTTGATGTGTAACAAAAATCCTAGAGATTTATTTTTCCAAGAACTGCTCCAATTTCCAAATAAGAGTGGGCTACACCAGGCACTGTGGTTACATGCCTGTTATCCTAGCACTCTGGGAAGCCAAGGTGGGAGGATTAATCCACTAAAAATGAAAAATTAAGACAAGAAGATAGCTTGAGCCCAAGAGTTTGAGGTTGCTCTGAGCTATGAGGCCAAGGGCACTCTACCAAAGTGGGACTCTGTCTCCAAAAAAAAAAAAAAAAAAGAGTGGGCTACACACAAAGGCACAATTCTCCATGACCAAAGTTCTTTACATGGGATATATGAACTCCCTCAAAAGATGGCAACAGAAAGTTGTAATACACTCTTGTATTTGTATTCTTCTGGTAACTCAGTTCACTTCCGTTCTTCAACATGTATATGTAATTATGTAACTAAGTTAACTATGTTCCATCTGAATACTGGAGACCTGTTGGGGAAGCTGTCCATGCACTCATGTAAAGTTTCCATTTAATTACTGAGGGGGGGGGGAGCAAATACAAAGTAAAGGGTACAGGATTCTACCCCTATTCCCAAAAGTGAAAACCTAAAAAAATACAAAAGAATGGGCGGTACCTGTGGCTCAGTGAGTAGGGCACTGGCCCCATATACCAACCGTGGTGAGTTCAAACCCAGCCAAACTGAAACCAAAAAAAAACAGGGTGTTCTGGTGGGCGCCTGTAGTGCCAGCTACTCGGGAGGCTGAGGCAAGAGAATTGCTTAAGCCCAGGAGTTGGAGGTTGCTGTGAGCTGTGTGATGCCACGGTACTCTACCAAGGGGAACAAAGAGATAGTGAGACTCTGTCTCTACAAAAAAAAAAAAAAAAAGTAAGAAGACAGGGTAGGCACAGACATCGGCAGGAAGGAGGCTTACCTTTTCATGTTATGTAGACTTTTGAACCACGTGAATGTATTAACTTCTTATAAAAACAAAACACAAAACTGCTCTGAAAGAAGAGGTGAAACTAAGGAGGTTGGAAGAGGTGAAACTAAGGAGGTTGGTGAAACTAAGGAGGCCCTGCTGCTCACCTGAGGGCGCGCTTCAGCCCATCGGTCACTGCCTCCTTCCTTGCCTTCTCCAAAGACAAGGCCTTGGACTTGAGGCCCTCACTAACACCATAACCCACATCTTCATGATATGAACCATCCTGGGGGTAAAAAAGGAGTTCAAATTTGAACATGAAAAACTGTAGATATGTTCTCGCTCCCTCCAGCAACAGTTTTCAAACTGGGCATCTGTCACCCAAAAGCACAAAATTCTAAGAGCCAGTAGTCTGGGAACCACCTGTACATGTGCCAGCCCACTTTCACATACAAAGGCGTGTGTCCTAATCCACCTGCAACCTCACTAAGGTGCATTACCCTTAGGTATGAAAACCTCTAGGATACCAAACAAGGCAAACAAGGGGATCATTTGAAATATCATCTAGTAGACACTGATGATCAGATATCAATACTTTCATAAGGTGGTATCCATTTTTTCACTTTCACCAAAAGCTAGGGAGGACCTGACAGAATTGTTAGCTGATAGAGAATCAAATAAAATGTCTGATGATAGCACTCTGTGACTTCTGGAAAATAATTCAGAAAGCACTCAAAGAAACGAGCGATACTATAACAAAATCCTTTCCATTCCCAGCTACTTGCTTATGTGGACAGAGTTTTTCAGTACTGTTAATAAAAATCAGAAGTCAATAATAGAATGCTATATGTTCATTCAAGAAATAATATTCAGGGCAGTGCCTGTGGCTCAGGAAGTAGGGTGCCGGCCCCACATGCTGAGGGTGGTGGGTTCACACCCAACCCTGGCCAAAAAAAAAAGAAATAATATTCATTGGTTGGGTGTGGTGGACACTGGGAGGCCAAGGTGGGTGGATTGTCTGACCTTGAGAGTTCTAGAGCAGCCTGAGCCAGAGCAAGACCTCGTCTCTAAAAATAACCAGGCATTGTGACGGGCACCCGCAGTTTGAGGTTGCTCTGAATTGTGACGCCATGGCACTCTACCCAGAGCGACAAAGTGAGACTCTCTCTCAAAAAAAAAAAAAAAAAAGAAATTCAATTATTAATATATAAACTGAAAACAAAGAAAACATGATCCATCTTATTAAGATACACATTTTCCATAAATTTTAATTCTTTTTTTTAACTATCAAAATTGTGATACATTTATGTTCTCTCAACATAAACACAATTGTCTGATCAATTATGTATTAATAAAATAACTGTGATAACTCAATCCAGAGGAGACCTTTTTTTCCCCCCTCATTTTTAGAGACATTGCTTTTGCTCAGACTGGTCTGGAATTCCTGAGCTCATGTGATCCACCCACCTTGGCCTCCCAGAGGCTTACAGGCATGAGCCACCATGCCTGGCCCAGAAGAGGTCTTTAAACAATTAGAGCTTGAGGTCACTGAAAATTTAACAAAGGGGTGCATGCACACACACAGAAAAGACTAATAATAGTATCAATAAACTTTTAATCATGAATATATACTAGGATAAAAACCAACAGGGAAATAGAATAGATATATATGAGTTAAGATAAAGAAGAAGCAATACAAAATCTCTGATAATAAAGAATTGCTTGCGGCTCCGCACCTGTAACTCAGTGGCTAAGGTGCCAGCTACATACACTGGAGCTGGTGGGTTTGAATCCAGCCAGGCCTGCCAAACAACAATGACAACTACAACCAAAACATAGCCGAGCATTGTGGCAGGCACCTGTAGTCCCAGCTGCTTGGGAGGCTGAGGCAAGAGAATCGCTTAAGCCCAAGAGTTGGAGGTTGCTGTGAGATGTGATGCTATAGTACTCTACTGAGGGCAACATAGTGAGACTCTGTCTCAAAAAAAAAAAAAAAAAATCACTTGCTCATATATTTTTTTCAAATAAATGACAGACTTTAATCCCTGATAGCATTTAGATCCCACTAGTACCTTTAAAAAAGATGTAGCAGATTTAGAACAAGCCCTCAATGTCTTTGACATGTTCTTGGAAACTGACTTTAAGTATAAACAAAACCAATTTCTTTGTATAATCAGCCTTATAACAAATGACATTTGAGGACTTGCTACATATCATTTTGCTTAAAGTTGCAGTTTCCAAACCTACCAACCACATTAAGTGAGGATTTACTGTCAAAAATATAGTATGTTGGCTCAGCGCCTGTGGCTCAAGTGGCTAAGGCACCAGCCACATACACCCAAGGTGGCCAGTTCGAATCCAGCCCGGGCCTGCCAAATAACAATGATGGCTGCAACCAAAAAATAGCCGGGCGTTGTGGCGGGCGCCTGTGGTCCCAGCTACTTGGGAGGCTGAGGCAGGAGACTCACTTGAGCCCAGGAGTTGGAGGTTGCTGTGAGCTGAAATGCCATGGCACTCTACCCAGGGGGACAGCTTGAGGCTCTGTCTCAAAAAATAAATTAATTAATTAAAAATTAAAAAATTATATATATATATATACATATATATATATAGTATGTTAAAAAATTTACCTTTTGCAACTGTTTTCATATATGGTGAAAACTTCTTTTTTTTTTTAAGTGTCAACTTAAAAATATTCAATGGGAGGCTGAGGCAAGAGAAGTGAGTAAGCCTCAGACTTTGAGGTTGCTATGAGCTCTGACGCTACTATGCTCACAAGGGGAACATAGACTGTCTCAAAAAAAAAAAAAAAAAAGTTCAAGAAAATGGTTTTTCAAAATTCTTTCAGAGGGCACGTGAGCAAGCGTATTTGAACACCACCATTCTAAAGAACACTGGCTGAGACATAACACTGGGGCCCAGCTCCAGCTTGGTTGTGCCCTGATCCAGAAACTCCCTACCTCATCCTCTCCTACTACCCACCAATAGTTCCAGGCGGCAGGTCTACTCCATCACCCTCACCTTCAACTGGACCCTCACAAATGCACAGACTCCCACGTAGAACTTGCCATTGTTGAGGTCAACAAAATCTAGGAGTGGAAAAGAGAGTAAGCTGAAGAGGATCCTGACTCTAGGCCTCACCCATGTCGCTCCAGCTGCCAAGTGGACATAGTGAACTTACATCCTCACCCACAAAATTTATCAGAAATGACACAATGCCAAAGCAAGGGGAATGAAACAGTCACCATTGCCAGGAAGCAGACTTACCCACGTTCTGCTGTGTGACTGAGTGTGCCCAGCCATTGTAACCAAACATCTCATTGGCCAGATTAATTACCCTATGACCCTCAATGTAACACACCTAGGAAAAAATAATTTTTAAAGAAAAAGCTATGTTAAAATTCCTTATTATACTTAAATGTGAATCAAAATTTACTTAATTTATTCCTTATCTGTTTCTTTGGCAAAACTGCCCTTAAACATTCCAGGGAAATTCTCAATGAATTTTTTTTCAAAGACTACCAGATGTAGTCAGCAAGAACTAACAGTCTGGGGAGAGGAACTAGACTCAGAGGAGAAAGATAATCACTCATCTAACAGTTTCTAAAACTCACAGATGCCAAAATAGCATAAATCTTAAGGTTGATGTATTTTATGGAAAACCAAAAACACACAGAAGTTAAAATTATAAGCAAATGATGCACAATTATTATGTGTCAATTATAAATTTTTTAAAATTATTTAATTCAAAAAAAAAGAAGCAAATGGCAAAAGGGACATTTTTTTCAAATGGTATAAAACTCCTAAGATGACAGTGGTCCAAGTCTCAAGACAATGCTTGGGCCCCTTCAGATGAGGATGAAGGCTGGACCCATCCCCACCCAGGGGCACTAGGAAACCTCCCCTCCCAGTGAACAGGAGCTTCCGGAATCCATGAGACCTAGAGAGGGAGTTGGTAAGGTCACCTGAGTGGTCTGCTACATACAGAACAGACACCAGTGGTCAGGCGTGGAAGCTGTCCTACCTTCTGGCCTCCTCCAGCCATGCGGCTACTTATGTATTCTGGACCCAGCCTCTGTCTCAGAGCACACTGAATGGCCTGGTACTCCTCTGCTGTGTACTGGCACTACAATCACATGAGGAAAAGTACACTGACATTGCACCATTCCATATATCATTACGTTTCCAACTTTTTGGTCTCAGAAACTTTTTACACTCTTATCCTGGCACTCTGGGAAGCCGAGGCGGACAGATTTCCTGAGCTCATGAGTTTGAGACCAGCTCTGAGGTAGAGTGAGACCTCGTCTCTAAAAACAGCTGGGTGCCTGTAGTCTTTTTTCTTTTTTTTTGAGACAGAGTCTCACTTTATCACCCTCGGTAGAGTGCAGTTGCGTCACAGCTCATAGCAACCTCCAACTCTTGGACTTAAGCGATTCTCTTGCCTCAGCCTCTTGAGTAACTGGGATTACAGGCACCTGCCATAACAACTGGCTATTTTATTGTTGTCGTTTGGCTGGGGCGGGTTTGAACCCGCCACCCTTGGTATATGGGGCCGGCACCCTACGCACTGAGCCACCGGCGATGCCCAAAAGACTTTTTTTTTTTTTTTGAGACAGAGTCTCAAGCTGTCGCCCTGGGTAGAGTACCATGGCATCACAGCTCGCAGCAACCTCCAACTCCTGGGCTTCAGTGATCCTCTTGCCTCACCCTCCCCAGTAGTTGGGACTACGGGCATGCACCATAACACTCATCTAATTTTTCTATTTTTAGTAGAAATGGGGTCTCACTGTTGCTCAGGTTGGTCTCAAACTCTTGAATTCAAGTAATCCTCCTACCTCAGCCTCCTCTTTCAGAGTGCAAGGATTATAGGCATGAGCCACCACATCAGCTACTCTTTACACTCTTAAAAAGTATTGAGGACCCCAAGAGGTTCTGTTTATGTAGGCTGTGTCTGTCGTATTAGGAATTAGAACGGAGAAACTGTTAAAGCACATATTCCGTTAGGCATCAGTGATGATATCACGTTATGCAGTATCTGGAAAACAGCCACTCACACGTGAGAGACTATGAAAAAGGCAAACCTTAGCATTACTATAGAATGGTCTTATATTTTGTTACTATATTATATAATGATCTCATATAATGGCCTTAGCATTATTGACAATCTTAGCATTATAATAAAAATAACTTTAACCTCATGGATTTTGAAAGGTCTTGGGATTCTCCAAGGATCTCAGAACCATATTTTAAGGATCCCCACCTTAAAAACTGCTACCATCCTTATAAAATTTTCTCAAGCCAGGCCAGGTGGTGACTCAGGCCTATAAAACCAGCATTTGAGGAAGAGTGATCACTTGAAACGAGTAGTTTGAGATCAGCCTGAGAAACATAATGAGAGCTCATCTCCATAAAACATTTTTAAAATTAGGTATGGTGCAAGTACCTGTAGTCCCAGCTAAGGCAGGAGGATCACTTGACCCCAGGAGTTCCAGGCTGCACTGAACTATGATGATGCCATTGCACTCTAGCCTGGGTGATAGAATGAGACCCTATCTTCCCCCACACACGCCAAAAATGAAAGAAATAAAGACAGGATAGGAAGTCTTGTTTCCACTTGTTCTCACCAAAGTTTTATACTTTCTTCTCCAGTTCAAGAATTTCTCACCCTGGCTTGGTACCTGTAGCTCAGTGTTTAGGACGCCAGCCACATACGCCAGGGCTGGTGGGATCAAACCAGGCCCAGACCTGCTAAACAACGATAACTACAACCAAAAAATAGCCGGGTGTTGTGGCAGGAACCTGTAGTCCTAGCTACTTGGGAGGCTGAGGCAAGTGAATCGCCTGAGCCTAAGAATTTGAGGTTGCTGTGAGCTATGACACCATGGAACTCTACCAAGGGCAACATAGTAAAATTCTGTCTCAAGAAAAAAAAAGAACTGCTCATCCTATTCATACAAAACTAATCTACTACTTGCTGGGTTACATTTTGTCCCCTTACCCTATTTAAATGAGATGAATACTCACAAATAAATCTCTGGCAAAGACAAAGATACAGTTTGAGTGAACAAGCAAGAAAAACTTTTCTTTTTTTAAAACCTACAGCAATGTCCTGGGTCTTTTATTTACTTATTTACTTTTGCAGGTTTGTTTTTTTTTTTTTGGCAGGGGCTGGGTTTGAACCCCCCACCTCCAGCATATGGGGCGAGCGCCCTACTCCTTTGAGCCACAGGTGCCGCCCCCAAAAACTTTACTACACACAGAATGTCTCTACAAAGAATGACTCCAGTAAAGCATGGAAGTAGAAACCAGAGGAGGACAGGGAGACTTTTCACATACATCTTTCTTTCATTTTGAATTTGATATCATATGAATGTTATCTGTCAAAAAAATAAATTTAGATCCCAATGTAATCCCCAGGAACTTTAGTCTTTAGATGCTAAAGTTCTAAAATGCTCCCAGAGTTCACCAAAGACCATCAAATAACATATCTAAAGAAAAACCAGGCTCCGTGCCTGTGGCTCAAACAGCTAAGGCACCAGCCACAGACACCTGAGCTGGTTGAGTTCGAATCCAGCCCAGGCCCGCCAAACAATGATGGCTGCAACCAAAAAATAGCCAGGCATTGTAGCGGGCACCTGTGATCCCAGATACTTGCGAGGCAAAGGCAGAAGAATTGCTTGAGCCCAGGAGTTGGAGGTTGCTGTGAGCTGTGATGCCACAGCTCTCTACTCAGGGTGATAGCTTAAGGCTCTATCTCAAAAAAAAAGAAAGAAAAACAGAGAGCTTACACATGTATGATAATGCTCTATAGGTCATCTTGTTGTAACTTTTCTCACTTAACTGCATCCTTTCTTAGAAGGAACCACATATTACCTGTCCAAAGCATAATACAGAATTGCCACCAGCAGGATGGCGGTCACGTCCTCCAAAGATTGCGTCCTCATTCCCAGACATGGTTGATTCTGGTTGACCTCTGTACAAATAAAAGGTTAGAAAAAGATCTCAAAGAATGCTAAAGGTAAAAGACAAAAGCCTCTACTATAAAATCAGATAAAGCACTTAGCACGCAATATCTTATGAGTTCCTTAATTTATATAATTCTGAACACTGCTCCAATCAAGCACAAAGTTCCTCAGTGGTTAGCTGTGGCCTGCAAGCTGCCAAAAATCCTTTAGGGTACGGTTCTTTCTTTCTATTAATATTTTTGCTATCGTGGTGGTGCTATTAAATGTGGCTTTTACAATAAGAATATATTACATTTAAATTAAAAAATCAAAGTTACAAAATATTCTTTATGGGAATGCAAATAATCTACTTACTACAGATTAAGCATCCCTAGTCCAAAGTCCAAAATTGGAAACTTTTTGAGCACTGGCATGATGTCACAAGTGGAAAATTCCATACCTCATCTCATTTGATGGGCAGCAGTAAAAACACAGGCCCACAACACCCGTCTATTCAGCCTCCCCAAGGAAACAATAAAATTACCTTCAGGCTTAGTGGGAGGCTACTCTGGGAAGCTGAAGCAGGTGGACTGCTTGAGCTCAGGAGTTCAAGGCTAGCCTGAGGAAGAGCAAGACCCTCATCTCTACTAAAAATAGAAAACTAGCCCAGCATCGTGGTACACGCCTATAGTCCAAGCTACTCAGAGGTTGAGGCAAGAAGATTGCTTGAGCCCAGGAGTTTGAGTTTGCTATGAACCATGACGCCATGGCAAGCTACCCAGGGCAACAGAATGAGATTCTGTCTCAAATATAATAATAAAATAAAAATTCAAAATTTAAATATCTATCCTATGAGGCAGAAGTCAGCAAATTTTCTGAAAAGCATTTTGCTTTTCAGGCTATCTGGTTTCTGTCACGACTACTCAATTCTAGTACCTTAGCATGTACACAGCCACAGACAATACCTAGGTGAACGGCCATGGTTGTGTCCCAATCAGACTTTATTTACAAAAACAGGTGGTAGATTTAAGGCAAAGGCCATTGTGTGCCAGCCTCCACCATAAAGCATGCTGGGAACTCTATTGAATAGTCAGATGTGATCCAATATCTACTCCACCAGTTAAGTTACTCAAATTGAGCAATTTCTTAACTTATCTGTGCTCCAGTTTCTTCATACGCAAAAGGGACCATTAATAAGATCATCCTAAGTTTATTATGTTAAACTGATACAACAATGACAGCATCAGCAAGAATCAGTGGGATCTAAGAGGTTGTTAGATACCAAGATATGTACAAAATCTCAAATGAGTACCCCCATCAGGTTATTTGTTATAATAGAGGGGTATACTTCGTGAATGTACTTAATGTATGCTTAAAAATGGTTAAAATGTTAAATTTTATATTGTGCATACTTTATTACAAGAAAAAAAGGAGGGCACCTTAGCACGATATAAGTCTATACCTCATTCACGCGAAGGCTGACGTGGGCTGGTGACCAGGTCCAGCTTGTAATTGTATCATCTAGGACATGTGGTCTCCAAAGACACTGCAGTTCACAGCTGCCTTGGCCTGGAAGTGACACATCCACTTCCAGTCATCCTACGCTGAAGAGAACTTGACATGAACTTAATCGCAAAGGATGTAGGGAAATACAACAAAGCGTTTGACGATTTGGTGAACACCATCTGCCACAACACATTTTCCCCTGCTCCAATGTGACCCCCAGGAAAGTGGGAGAGTCTATTCTTTTCATCACTGGAGATTAGCACAGCCCCTGGCTCTTAGTAGGGGTCAGCAAGTGAGACTGGTGAGTAACGGCTGTGGGCTAATTGAATGAATGAAGGAAGGAAATACAGAATGCAGGACAAAGTATACTTTTAAATTCTTCAAAACAGGCTGCACGTGGTGGCTCACACCTATAATCCTAACACTCTGGGAGGCCAAGGTGGTGGATCACTTGAGGTCAGAAGTTTGAGACCAGCCTGAGCAAGAGCAAGACTGTGTCTCTAAGATGCTATGACACGCTACCCAGGGCAACAGAGTGAAATTGTCTCACACACAAAAAAAAAATCTTCAAAACTAATTTTATTATAATAAAATTACAATATAATTCTTCCCTTATAATAAAAGGCAAGAATTACATTTCTCACTTAAAAAACAACCTGTTCAGACTCGGCGCCTGTGACTCAAGTGGCTAAGGCACCAGCCACATACATCTAAGGTGGTGGCTTCAAATCCAGCCCGGGCCCGCCAAAACAATGACGGCTGCAACCACAAAATAGCCGGGCGTTGTGGCGGGCGCCTGTGGTCCCAGCTACTTGGGAGGCTGAGGCAGGAGACTCATTTGAGC